TCGTTTTTGAAGTTCTTTTTTTCTAGCTATACATATCAATTAGATCAACAGACAGGTATAAAACTTATTCTAGATATGATTACAAGTTGATAAAGATTCATTTATATCTTGAAAAATAGAAAATAAAACAGATTTTTTTTCTTTTCAACCTAAGCTCATTTTTCTCATTGAATAATATTAAGATAATATGAATAAAGTTCTTTACCTTGTTTAATTGGCCTTAAAGGAATAAATAAAATAGGTGATATTTCTTTTTCATCCTCATCTGTTTCTATACATATCGAATGTTAACTATAAAATGATATGAATCACATTCATTATTATTATTGGGTATTAGTAAAATACTCTCTCACCCATCCTCACCCACCCTGACCTACTCTCACCCGCTCTCATCCACTCTCACCCAGATCTTAACAAGAGGGTGTAGGCATGGGTGTGAGTTGGATCAGAGTGTGGATGTGGATAGTTGTGGGTGAGGTGTGGGATAGATGTTGGGCTATGGGTGGGTTGTGATTTGGTATGAGTGTGAGATGTGAGTAAGGAACGGGTGTAGGTATGAATGGAATAAGGCCACATCCACATCCACACACACAAATACGCACTTCCATATCCACACCTCGCTTACACCCACGGTGAACCACACCAAATCCCATGCCACCACACATACTCCACATCCACACCTACATCCAATCTCACGTGGTATAGATGTGAGAGAGTATGAGATAGGGTTCGGTTTTGGATGTGTATGTAGTGATTGTGGGTATCAGTTTGGCTGTGGATATGGGAGGGTGTGGATGCGGGTTCGTTGTGGGTGTAAACGAAGTGTAGATATGAGAGTGCGTATTTGGGTGTGTGGATGTGGATGTGGCCTTATTCCATTCATACCTACACCCGTTCCTTACTCACATCTCACGCTCATACCAAATTACAACCCACCCATAGCCCAAAATCTACCCTACACCTCACCCACAACTATCCACATCCACATTCTGATCCGACTCACACCCATACCTACACCCTCTTGTTAAGATCTGGGTGAGAGTGGGTGAGAGGGAACTCATAAAAATGATATTTAATTCTTTTGTCTAAGATTTTTCGAAGAAAATGGGTCGGAGTGGGGTCTCATGAATGGAGAATTTTATGCTCTATCGATTGATACTATTTTCGAATTAAACGGCGGTGAGAGTGGGTGAGAGCATATTTTACTAATAGCCTTCCGTAACCGGGATTCCTGTAGGATTTGACGGCTGGTCCTATCCGATGAAATTCGGGATCGGATTCATTCGCCTGGACTGTTGAAACAAATCGAAATATATGTAAGTCGCCTGAGCTTTTTACGCTGACTCCAAGTGCCGCACTCCTTTGAAGACGAATCCGTATTCTGCTGCTTGAAAACCGTTGACTATTATTCGAAAAAAAATGCAAATTGAATCTCAAGTGTAGTACTTAGAGAAAAATGATTCACTGGACATTGGATTTCAAGTTGGAACTAGTGTCGTTAGAAAGAGCTTATCAAATTAGATATTCGGCTAAAACATCGGGCTAGTGCAACAATAGAAACTATAACTTCATAAGACTCGAAAAATCATTAGTTATAAGAAAAGGACCCAATTGCGACTGTATTTTAGATTTATCGATAAAAAGATCTAAATCTCTGCGAATTGTCTAGATATTCTGATAGAGGCAGAAATTCTTCGTCAAATGAACTTGTTTTCGAGGAATCTTAATTGGAATTCAAAGGATTTTTGGGTCAAAAACTGATTTTTAATGCTTTCAGAGAGTGGTTCCGATCTTGCTAATTATCAGAGTACTTTTGAAGAAAAATGTGATATTTGCAATCAGCACACTTAATGCTATCGGACTATAAAAATGTGCAGTCGAACGACGACAAAAACAATTGTTTGATAGCTGAGGGGACCCCAAGTGTGAAAAATTGGGTTGTGGTAAAATGCAAAATAAACTTGTGAACAATTTTCAGGGTTCAATGTTGATTCTCGGACAAACAAAATTTGGTTCAGATTTTTGGGACGTGTTGTCTGTAATCTGATATTCCTCCTGTCTTGGTGTAAGGTTACGGTATTATCATTCCAATAATAACAATAATTTCATACAAATGATTTCTGTAGAATACAAACATATTGTTAAGGAAGAAATCAACTATGATTATCAAGAACATCCTTAACATACGTACTTTAACTTTGATTTTTTTAAAGTTTAAGTTTTAAAGTGTGTTACTTTAACTTTGAAAATTTAAAGTAACACTTTAACTTTAATACTTTATTAAAGTGTTTTTAAAATTAAAGTTACACCTCTAGACTCCACTATGAAATTCGTCGGAGATCTAAAGGAATAAGTAGGATCCTACAGGAACTGAATCGGAATTCAACTGTCGAAATTTCTAACGGTTTCGGCAGGTGAATATCATCGAATATTCATAGGAATCCGATATCGGATTCATCGAGCTGGGAAGAATGTTATTAGATATATATATATATATGCTTTCATTAAATGTGTGCGTCCTATATGAAATTATTTAAATACGATATTTATTTTTATATTTTTCTTGGCTACTGATTCGTCATTTCAGCAATGGTATTATAAACGATCTGAATAAAATAAACACAGACATTCTAAATTTTAGACATTTGTTGAAACAAAGATAACAATCGCAAAATAACTATAAAAGCTCATATACGCAAGAGAATCACTTACATTACTTCAAGTCGTAAACTCATTTCAACTTACATAAATCACGTCAACTCACCGTAACTCACCTTAACTTACAAAATCATAAATCACCTTTTTCCCCCTTGGTCAAAATACTAGATTGATGCTTATTTTTTATGCTAAACATTTCTGTTTCTCACTTGATATTCAAAGAAAAAACATCATCATGTAGCAAAAGAAGAAAGAATTTTTTTTATTTATCGTTTAAGGCAATGCGTTCAAAGAAATGTAACTAAACTTGACAACAGAATAACACATTGTTCGCACATATATCAGTTTGTAGAGAATTTTTTCTCTATCATATTCTCTGCAAAATATTTGCGTTACATTAGCTTTTTTCATGAAGGCACTTGTGTATACTTTCAAGGACTACATATAACATCAGTATTCAAATGCAATACTTCTCTTCTGACTTTGAATTTTGACAGTAAAAATCTTTTAAACCAGTTAATTTTGTGCAGTCTTTGACAGACTTTCTAGAGGTATATTTGAAAATTAATTTTGATAAAAAATTCAGTGTAATCTTTTACTAGCACTGTGGTATTAAGCATGTTTAAGAATCTGTTTTTTTAAATAGTTTACCTATTGAAAATTATCTTTCTTCATTGAAATGCTATGTCAATAGATAGAGCTCTCTTTGTTCGTTCTACCGGTGTACAAATAATATAATTCTGATATCAGGCAAGCAAGCCCTTAACATATTTGAAAATCGGACATTTTTATGAGAAACGTTCCCGTAATTCAAGATGACAGTCAAAATAGTTGATTTTCATAGAGAACCTAGTTCGAAGTAAGGGCTATCTCCTCATGCAAAGACAAAGATTTTATTTCTTGTTTCTGCTTCGCAAACGAAGAAATGCGAAAAAACACGGAGGTATCCGGATACTTTTTGGAGTGCCTATAATTCGAAGTGCTTTTTTCGGGACGCAAAGACTTTCCATTTGTTCCAAGCATTTTCTAAAGAGTTTTATAACTTTGTGAAACCCATATATATTTTCGAAGAACACAATTAGTGTAAGTTTTAAGTTCGAGTTTTCGCAGCTTCGCCCCTCCCCCCGCCATATCACCCATTACTGACGTTAGCAATCAAGAAAAAACAGGTGTCAAACTTTGTAGAGTTTTCTTTCAAAGTTGATCAGGTTATAATTTTGAAAAATAATGAATATCATTATTTGTGAGTTGATTAGTACATATAATAGTGCATAAGATCTGCTATAGATATAGATATATCATGGATGTGCAAAAGAGACTTATTTGTCAATCAATTCCATGATTATAATAATAAGAGTGTTAAATTTAGAAAAATGAATTTAAAAAATGCAAAATAATGAGCGAATAGCAATAATGCAAACAAAAAATAGGGTGTCCATAGAAAAAATAAAAAGTTTATGTTCGAAATGCAGAAATAAATAAGACAAATCTTTGCTATGCTGATACATCATCTTCGAACACAACTATAATCTATGAAAAAATGTTCCCTCCTCCTACTTTGTATTAGTTAAACAAAACTAAACAATATATGGAAGTTTCACATTTCAGTCCCTAAGCGGCTGCGTCAACAAGCTCTTTTTTTAATAACAAGTAACGTTCGTCGGTTCGACTCACTTGACCCTCGACTGTATAAGATAGAAGTATATTCCGCATGTGTTGTAATGAAAGAATAGGTTTACCAGCTTTATCACAATAACTGACTCAAAATTCTATTTGTTGAATTATAAAGCCGAAGAAATTGATCGACCTATTTGCAAAATACTTCACGATAAACTTTACTTTTCAATAAGAGATGGTAAAACAGGAATTCTTTATCCAAGTACACTGTAGCAAATAAATATTGGAAGCAAAATAAATATTGGAAGCAAAATAAATTTTATACCAGCAAACTAGTAACACGATGAAATAAGCTGATTTTACTTGGTAATAGGTGCTCTTGCATTATTTAAGAAACGTGATACTGAAAGTGTTATGTTTATGGGTGACATAAGACTATTAATGATTCAATGGCAATAATGAGAATGTGAAGGAATAGGAAAACGTTAATGACTACTCAGCATCATTTTATTATGTGATAAAAAAAAAGAAAAACTACACCATAAAAATTCATTAGGAAGAACTACCAGAATGAATAAAATACATGTAAGTAAAATATACGACAAAATATATAAAATGCAAAAAAACTAATACGAGAAATTTGAGACGTTTAACGTGAATTGCATATTTAAAATTATAAAATATAAAGAGTCATATGCAAAATTTTGTACAATACGAAGAAGACATTAAAACCATTCAATAAAACGCTTTTGTGTTTCTAAATATAGTTTGTCCAGTCTTTCTATTTCGGCGAGTTGAGATTTGCTTGGTTTCATTGTTAAAATTGTGTAATCAAAATGTCGGAAAATAATCAAATCAGCCAAGGGTTTCACGCGTGACAGAGGTACATATATTGCAGCAATGTCATCAGTTTCATTTGACAGCGTCAGATCAATTACGACATTGCTTAAAGTTTGACCTTGACTTTTATGTGTTGTAATACAATACGCAGGTACAAGTGGTAATGCACGTCGCTTAATTGATAAAATTGCCTTGTGATTTGATTTCAGTTTCTTGTCTTTTGGTAAAACATCAGCAATATTAATGCGAAAAGTTTGTTCCATTAATGGTATTGGTACGAGATTTGACTGGAGGTGTTCAAAGTTGCATTCAATCTTTGATCTAACAATTGCAATTAATGCGTATAACGGTCTACGTATGTATCGTGTGTTATTGGGAAATGTTTCCGAAATAACATCTGTTGACACGGAATCTTCTTCGTAGACAAGTTGTCGAAAGATTCCATTCATTCTATTAATGAAACCCAGTTCAATAGCAATGTTTTGTGTTAAAATAACAGGCATTCCGGGAACTAAAGACAAAAAACCTGGCAAATCCTCTGTTTTGCTATCAGATAATTCTAACAATTTTTTAATAAGTGTCGGATCTTCAATTGATTTGCCTTTGCAAGTGTCTTGAGCGACACATATCATGGGTGCTTGTCCTATTTCCGCTGCCTTGTGAATTGCTGCTTTATTGTTCAATTGTGTCCGTACTTCATTTCGGAAAACAAGAATCGGAGCCTAAATAGATGAAAATAGAAAATTGTTGAAAACGAAAAAGAAGACTTACTTTATTCCAAGGTTCATCGCGTAGAGAACCTACTGATGATTATCCAACAACTCGTGTGAACAATGATTCATAATCATCGTAATTACATTGACCGTGACGGAGTCGTTCAAGCAAGTGAAGATACCGTGGATCTTCCGTTCGCATTTGTTGAGAAAGTTTTACCACACAATTAATTTGAAGAATTAAAGAACATGCAACACGTTGTTGAATTTCTTTTTCTGTGGGTAGCATACCAAATTTCTTTTTGGATGGTAATGAAAAATCCGTGTGTAATGGTGCATCATAAACAGGTCGATATTGTAAGTAGTCACCAAAGAAGATAACATTCACACCACCAAATGGAACTTGAGGATCAACATGTTTTGCAGAGCAAATAATTCGATTAAGTTTTGCTAGTAAATTTAAACCAACCATACTCATTTCATCGATTAATAAATCTTCGACGAATCTCCACTCTTTTTCGAGTTTTAAGTCTCCTGGTTTGATAGTTCGTGGCTTTCCAGAATTACGTTGTTCCCCCAAAAATGAATGAATTGTCATACTACCTACTTCAGCAGCAGCAATTCCTGTGGATGCAAGCTTTCGCATCATTTGCATTCTTTTCGTAATAAGAAAGTATTTGCTGAGAGCACGAATAAGCTGTGATTTTCCTGTACCACCACATCCAGGTATGCACATAATGAGTTGTCCATTATTATCACCTAAACATACAGTGCACTTCAATTTGGCTTACAATAAGTTGTAAAAATATCTGTACGACATCGACTATCACCATCAAGATGACTTGTTATTATCATGAAAGCAGCTCTTTGTTCTCTATTTAATGTAAATTCATCAGCAATACTTGTTTGATTGGGAAAGTTGGTTGCAATAGAGACAACTGGGAGAATCGAACCATAGCTGTCAAAGTTGTTTTTATTATAACTATTTGGATTCAACGCTGTGACAGTGGCATCTTTTGCAGCTTGCAAATTTGTTGTATTATCTTCTTCATCATAGTTGCCTGTAATTAAACTTCGTCTAACTCGTTCTTTTTCAGCTTTCAGCTGTTCTTGCCATTTTGTATTTAGTCGAACAAGATTTGTTGTTGCAGAAACGAACGGTACAAGTTGTTGATTCGCAGAATCGATAGATTCATTAAAGAAGATTGGCGATGAACTATAATAAATTTTACATATTTGTTTTCAATTTGAACTGACTAATTGTCTTAAAATATTACTTACTATTTATATGACTAAAACGTCCAACATTTTCGACTGCTTCAATAGCTTCTTCAATATATTTATCTTCTGTTGATCTTTTGGTGGTATTAATCATTGCAGTTGTGTATTCGTCTATATTGCCTATCAATTCTAATAAGTCTTCACTATCATTCATATCATATTCACCATCAATATGTTGATTTGCAGGCAAAAGAACAGGATCGATTGCATCATTATCAGTTTGAGCTTCAGCAATAACTTGAAGTAAATACTCATCGCGATCCTTTTTACATTCATGTAAAAGTTGAATATTTTCTATGATCTTCCATGAATGAATAGAAATACGATTTTTTCGAGATTTAAAAGCATCTTCCCATGTTTGATTGACGCCACAAAGATCAGTAACGGTGCGCCAAGGCACGAAAAGTGTGAGAATAGCTCGACTGTATCGTTCTCGAGTATCATCACGATCTCGTCGAGGAATTTGTGGACCATAAAGAATAGGTACATGACGTTCACTGTATTTCATCAAAATATGTGTTGTTGTTTGTGGATGCTGCTGTTGAAAAGGATAACGCTTATTATGTGGCCGACCTTTTTCGTTAACTTTGTCTGTTATCGATGCCGCAGTTACAGCTAAATATTTCAAATCTGTTGTGTTCATTTTTTTCTTATACAGTGTGCTGACAAAGTCGTATAAACACATATCATTGAGAATATTGAAGCGATATTGATAATCAATTCTTGTGTTAACGAGTACATATTTTTTATCATTGTCAGTCGAGTGAATTTGAAAATGCTTTTCGTCATTGTTTTCATCGTCAATAGCTTCATCGTCATATACATCATCGTCAACTATATCTGAATAAAAAAAGACAATATATATTGGTTATTATTTAATGATGAGATTTCTTCTCAAGCAATATTCAGTGTTTCGCATTCACATGTGCAGTAGAAGTAACAGGTAGAATATTCTTTTATTGTATAGTGTAAGATTTGAGTAACATCAAATAGAATATTTCGACGATAGAGAAAGACGGAAGGGAGAAGAGAAAAAATATCGTATTAGTTCTTCGTACGACAGCCAGTGGAAAGAAATATATATGGTGAATACCCAAGGGGGAAAAAGCAGATTTTAAGATTTTAAGATTTTAAAAGATTTTAAAAGATTTTAAAAGATTTTGAAAGATTTTGAAAGATTTTGAAAGATTTTAAAAGATTTTGAAAGATTTTGAAAGATTCTGAGGTTTCAAAAAAGTTGAACCTACTCTATAAATTAGAGAAAATCTGCGTGTTGTAATAAAGGAGNTTGGTATGGAAATTTTCGATCTTATACGATCATTTTCAACCACTTAACAAGACTATAGATGTTACAAAACGAAAACAAAGATAGACTAGAAACAGATGAAAAGTTGTAAATTCTAATTAATAACATCATAATCATTAACTTTTAAACTCATATTAATGAATTAAAATTATTGTTTGATGTAATAATAATTCAATACATAGTTTTAATTTTAATTTTAATTTCAAATGAGTTTAATCCAATTTTCGTATATACCTACTTATATAACTTATGTTTGTAGTTCTACTGAATATTAATGTTATTGATTAGAATTTACAATTTTTCATCTATTTCTTGTTTATTTCTGTTTTCGTTTTGTAACATCTATAGTCTTGTTAAGTGTTGAAAATGTTCGTATAAGATCGAAAATTTCCATATTAATAAAATTCGTTATTATTATAATTATATAATCTTCTACATTTGTTTTTCATTACGTAGACAATTATGGTCCATTATTGATGATAAATTGAAATTCTGATCAATGTCGTCTCTGAAGGAATTAACTGAAACTTCAACAACTACATGGTAATCAATAAAACCAGAATCATGTGAAAAACTAGTATTTTCGATGCCACAGAGAATTCAAAAATGTATTGCAGTTAAACACAAATATATTGACTACTGAATTTTATTTAGTCATGATTTGTTTTATAACTTTTATGATAATTGTTATATATCCGAGGACATTTTTCTACTGGACAATTTTTTTTCTTCTTGTTTTTCATATTACAGTCAGAAGTTTTGCGTCTGCATGGTATAATGTGAAAGTTTAATGATTAGATACACTTACCATATATATAAAGTTTAAATCGAATGAAATATAAACTTTTGGGAAGCTATTCTTGAGTGTCTCAGAACTTTCTGTGTGGACTATACATACATATATACATGCTTTTTTTTCTCCAAACAGTCAGTTACTCTTGTTCGATTTTTTCCATCGCTATTCTTATTGTTTGTGTTCTCTTCAAATCAATAAAGCAAGTTATTGGCCTTGATCTCTCTATTTCTATTAGGCAATTGGTAATGCGTGATAGGTTTCAATTCGGTTCTTTTTGCTTCCTACACTCTAAATAAGAGTATCCCAAGAAATATTCTAGGGTTTCTGATATTTGTTACGGTTGGAAATCCTTAAAGGGTTTCCCAGCATGGATTTTCGAAAGCTTTGAAACCGTATCAGAAACTAGTCCATACGATTTATTCAAAGTTCACTGGAGGAACCCACCAAAAGCTGTCCAGGTTCACGAAATGTTCTGACAACAAGATATGCCAAACAACACCAGACCAGCAGAGCAGGTTGTGGAACCAATCTGAGCAATATTGATAGCCTTCAAAAAGTGTAATCAAAACACTCATTTTAAAACATTCTATTACCAGTCGTTGACGATCCAAGTACCTTTTAGATCCAGCTAACACCATTTTTCATCTCGATACTTCACAACATCAGCCTAAATACAGCAAAAGTATCAATTACCATCTCCAACACAGCTCATTAATTGTACCCATCCAAATGATTCCAAAATAAAAAACAGAATCAAAGAAGAATTTCATTAAATCTTACAATTGCTTTTCGTGCAAGTACTCAATAAGGAAAGAATATTTAATTTTTAGTGTCAATTTTACTTACTTGCTTTTTGTCGTTGAAGTGAAGCTGAAGATAGGCAAAAGTCTTGCATTTTTTCTAAAATCATGAATTGTTGAACCTCTAGGCTAGGATTTAAATATTTGATAGCAGTTTTTGATTTGGAAGAGTTTTAGTGTTTTATGTTTTTGATATAAAATAATCGAGTTTATCTTTGTTAGTTATTGAAAATGTCAGGTACATTTCATATGAAGAAATTTAATGTGTTGATGATGAAGAATCACACTTTTATTGAGAGAAGTAAACAGAAGAAAACAATGTTGAGCAATATGAAACTGATAATATTTCACACATGAATAGGTTCAAAGCACTAATAAAAACGAGGCCTCTCGTTGAGTCAACAATAAAAAGAGGCTTCTGAAGAGGAAATACGTTAATACCTTCTTCTTAGAAGCAAAGTAACTAAAACAGGGAAGACTTCACGAAAAAGAAAGACACAGAGAGAGCTGATACACCAATTTCGATTTTCGATGTTATTCGTTATTTATTTTCACTTTTTTTGATGAAGAGTTCTGGTATATTTTGTTTTAAATGGATCAGTTTCTTGAGAATAAAAGTTCAGAATTAAGCATTGGAACAGCTTTTCTTTTTCGAGTAGGTTGCTGATTACTTGGTATTGGTTCAAATGTTCTCACTTGAATCTCATCAGACATGTTGTGATTGTCTTTTTTCTTATGTATATCGTGCAAATCAACGTCAAGATTCCTCTTTTGTTCGAATGATGCAATAAATAATGAGGGAGATTTATCTTTCATGTTCAATGTTGTATACTTTACAAAATTTTCGAATGTTATTTGACTGTTGCTGCTTGTCGTTCATGAAATAAACATATAAAAATCTTGAGACAGTATGATATGTTGGAAACGTGAGATTCATCAAGTAGTATAGACCGACAATTAGAGAAAGAGATTATTCAATAGAAGCTGATGAACAAATAAATGTCCAATCAAGATAATTTTGTATGTTGTTGTCTTCAATTACCATCGTTGGTTGAAGAGTAATTCGTTTCTAAAACGAATCAAAAGATAAACCGAGGTAACATGGAAGGCAGCACTTTTAGACGAAAGGTATGTAATAAAAACTTCTCTTTATTGTGTAAAAAGACATTTTATTGAAGTTAAAAACAAGAGATTTTGTCATGTATCAAAACTTTTCATCGAAAGTTAGTGTTACAGACACATTTGTATCGATCTTTATACTGTATATTCTCTGATTAATCGAATAGCATCTATGGTCATCTACTACTGCTAGTATTTTCATGTTTACAAATGTTTAAATTAATGAATCGCAGAATTAATAGAAAGTCTGTAATAGTCAGAAATAAGGAAAAACTAAAGTAATAAGCAGTTTCTCTTAATTAAGCAGACAAGACTGTATAGCTTATTCGAACAGCAAAATAAAATCTCAGTAATTACCTTTATGTATTCTATTTTGATGATATTTCAGAGAAGTTAACAAATATACAGATAGCTTACATCAGAATAGAAGCAAATTTAATGTTTCCATGAGTCGCTTACTATACGACATAATACTTTTAAACAACAAATAATTGGATAATCTAATAAACAAAACGGATGATTCCTAATTTACCAATGTTTTACATATCTGTTAAAAATTTATTATCAGAACAAATTTGTTTAGAAAGCATATACATGTTTTCTTTGGTAGAATGATCCAAATCGATATCTGTTAATAGTTTAATGTCTGTTAGTGCCAAGGGGGAAACAGCGGACTACAAGACTTCAAAAGACTTCAACAGACTTCAACAGACTTCAGCCGTAGTGACTTCATATTTCCACAAGACTTCAAAAGACTCCAAAAGGCTTCATAGGACTTCACAAGACTTCAAAAGACTTCAGAAGACTTCTGAAGACTTCATTAGATTTCATTAGATTTCAAAAGACTTCATGAGACTTCACAGACTTCTTGAGACTTCACGGACTTCATGAGACTTCAAAGGACTTTATGAGAATTCATAAGACTTCATTAGATTTCATAAGACTTCATAAGACTTCATAAAACTTCACAAGACATCTACAGACTTCACAAAACTTCATCCGATTTCAAAAGATTTCGTAAGATTTCAAAAGACTCCACAAGACTTCAAGAGGCAGATTCCATGCGTATCAAAAAAAACTTATAGAAATTAAATGAAACCTCTATAACATGCAAAAAGATTATCAGTAAGTAAGGTTGTCATTTACCATGTACCTTATAATAAATACAAATTACTTATCATTTAATTTACGCGTAAGTTAAATGATAAGTAAATATAAACTGACACTCTCATTCATAACGGAGTAACTAGCGTCTTCCGAGCACTAGGAACCGACTGATATTGAAAATTAATTGCTCCCAAAAGACTTTTTTTTATATGCAAATATTCTCGAAACTATGCTCATTCAACCGAAAAATGTTGAAGTTAGGGGTGCCAATTTATATTTACTTTTCATTTAATTTACGCGTAAATTAAATGAAAAGTAAATATAAATTGACACTCCTATCATATAGAGATTACAAAAAGGTTTCTTGTTTCGGAGAATTGTTTCTCGTAACATATCTATACCTAGAATAGTTTACGATGACACGAGTAATGTTGAATATATGGTTGTACGTATCGCAGACATTTTAAGTGCTTGAGATTACACTTACACCCTATACACAAGCAAACGGCTTGTCG